GGTGACCCTGTTGCTCAGAGTTTGCCCTCAACCAACTGAGCCACTCGGCCGGCCCTTTGACCTGTTCTTCATCACTAATATCCTCAGGATTTCAGTGGGAGGATACACAGAGAGGCTTGTGTTTCTTTTTTTAAGACCCCAAACAGCTTCATTGTTCTATCCCAATATCATATATAATAATCATTATAGAAATTCAAATAATACAAAAAAGTATATAAAAGAAAGTAAAATTTCCCTAAAGCCCTACCCATCAGAGGCAGCCACCAGGAGCATTTGGTGACCTCAATCTCTCTGGCATTTTTCTAACATCTCACATACACACTGTTCACAGAAGTGTGAGCATAGTCTCCATGTCTTTTTTCATATATTCAGTTTCTTTTGTGTTCCTAACTCTCTTTTCTTGCCTTTACTCTTGCTGATGATCCTCCCCGTTTCCAGCGAGAACAGCCCAGCGTGTGTCCCTCCACAGCTCGAATCCGGACTTCACAAAGCCCGGAGGTCCCACGTTTTGGTGATCTTATAATTATGTCTATTAGAAAACATTTCCTTAGAGCTACACCAGGGGATCTTTCTTAAGCCACTAAAAATAATGAATTAAATAGGTACCAGATGACTTGGAGCGATTCCCAGGAAGGACGGTTGAGAGGGAAAAGCAAGATATGAGAAAACACGTATGTTGCTTTTGTAAAGGGAAGGAACACTGACATCCTGCATGTCTGTGTCTCTGTGGATCTGTGCAGGGTTGGGTGAAATGGAGGGAATTGTGGCAAGATACCCTTGCAATTGTTACATGGGTTATCTGAGGTGACAGTGGGACGCTGACTGAAAATGAGGGAGAAAAAAGGAGCTAGCGCCAAGCAAAAAGGAAAAGAAAAAGAGTGAATTTAGAAAAACCTGCATGTGATCACATGATTTATGCATTTATATAGAATTATGTATATTAGTGGGCATATGCATAAAAAAATACATGTTAAAAGAATTCTAAAACAAAGACTGTAAGTATATACTGCGCTCCCCCGCCTCGAAGTGTGGTATATAACAACCCAGATTTATCAAGTGATAAATTGGAGGAAGAGAGATCTCAAAATAGAATAAGGATTTCTTGCAAAGTGTCTTTAAATGGCTGGCTCTGGGCCCCTGCTCTGGGTCACCGTGAGCAGTGACTTCTCTTCTCCAAGCCTTACTTTACCTTTTTGTGAAATGGGAGGATGCAGCCTACAACTCGGAGTTGTGGGAGTTCATGAGATGGAAGAATGCGAAGCCCTGGCATTTAGTCAGTTTGCAGAAAACCAAGTCTATTTGCTGTTCTGGATTTTTATCTAACATAAAGTTTGATTTGGCATCGCTGGGCACACCCTGTCAGGGCTACATTCCTGAAGTCATTAGCCTGTGCCAGGACCGCTTATTTCCAATGCTGGTAAAAGATTAGCATTGCCAGTGGGAAAACCAAAGTCTAGGTAGGGGATGTGACTTACCCAAGGTCACACAGGTGCCAGGGCTGGGGCAAACCCCAGGACCCCTTACACCCTATGCAGTAGTTTCTCACTGATACTCAGGGGCTAAAGTTGAGGGTGGAGGGGGTAGGGAGGGGACTTTCTGATCAAAGACCTTCTCTCTTGGCCTTGGACTTGCTTCTGCTTATGGTGGCTTCTTCAGTAGAGGACTTGCTCTTAGCCCGTGTACTGTGCAGTCCACGCACATGTTCTCTCTCTCTCTCTCTCTCTCTCTCTCTCTCTCTCTCTCTCTCTCTCTCTGTCTCTCAGTTCAACTCCACCAAGCATGAGGGATTTGGGGGCACACATTCCACAGCACATTTTTACTTGGCTTTGCCTGAAATTGTCACTCTGAATCCCACAGCTGCCTCTGAAAGTGACATCAGGTAAACACATTCATCGGTCCCTTTGAGGGAGCCCAGGGATCCGCACGGATGGCATGGAATGAGCCTCAAGGTGAAGGGCACGGGACAGGTCAGAAAGGCAGCTCCTGGGAGGAGGGTCAGATCACGGAGTGTCTTGCCGGCCTTTGTAAGGTGGTGATTTGTACATAATCTGGGAATCCATTGGAGGGTTCTGAGCAGACAAAGGACATTCTTGGGCTTACGTCTCCACAGGGTCACTGGGCGACTGTACAGAGAATTGACTATAGAGAGCGAGAAGCAGGGAGACGAGCTAGGAGGCAGATGTATTGCAGGTGGAAGCTGGTAGTGACTGGGACCAGAGGGGCGACAGGGCAGATAGTGAGACACTGCCTGCTTTTCCAGGCGAGCCAATTCTGGATCTAGTTTAGAGATCAGCTCATTGGAGCTGGCTGGTGCATCAGATACGGTATGCGAGGGGAAAAATAAAAGGAGAATCAAAAAGCAGCTAGAAGAATGCAGATGCCACTCGCTGTGAATTTGAAGATTAAACAGACCCCCTCCTCACATTTTAATGCAGACATTTCCAGCCCCAACGTCCTGTCCCCCTGGGAAAGAATCACTTATGGAGGGCCAGGGGTCCTGAGGGAGGGTGTGAGCCTTGGCTGGTAAGCACTAAGCGTCCCCCTCCGCCCACCCCCAGGTACTTCTTTGACTGCGACACCCTCATCCCCCTCAAGAGGAAGAGGAAGTACTTCAAGGTGTTTGAAGTCACCAAGACCACCGAGAGCTTTGCCAGCAAGGTCCAGAGCCTGGTGCCCGTCAAGTACGAGGTCATCGTGACCACTGGCTGTGAGCCAGGGGCGGGCACTGACGCCAATGTCTTTGTGACCATCTTTGGGTCCTATGGGGACACAGGCAAGCGGGAGTTGAAGAAGAAAATGCGCAACCTCTTCGAGCGAGGCCAAACGGACCACTTCTTCCTGGAGACGCTGGAGCTGGGCGAGCTGCGCAAGGTGCGTGTGGAACATGACAGCAGCGGCTACTCCTCGGGCTGGCTGGTGGAAACGGTGGAAGTCACCAACACCAGAACTGGAGTGGCCACCATCTTCAAATGCGGCAGGTGGCTTGACAAGAAGCGAGGGGATGGGCTCACCTGGAGAGAAATCTTCCCTTCTGTCTGAGGGGCTGCAGGCCCTCCTGCTCACCCTCTCACCCAGCTGCTCCTAGGCACACCTTCCCGTCCCCACCTTGGCTTCCAGCAGTCTTTTTCTGAAGCCACCTGGAGCTGGGCCTGGGGACCAATAGGTGGCATGTGGCACTGTGGACCAGAACTTTGTGGTCCTTTGGAGACCACTGCAGGTGACTGCTAATGGAGTTCTGCATCTCACCCCACCCCGTCTCCTGGACCTACAGGAATCAATCAACATGTGTCATAATCCGTGGCTGCACAAAAATAACTTTTTGCATTTTCTCTTCTGGTAACAGTGGTGACCAGGCTAAGATTTGCTGCCAGGTGTGGATGGGAAATTGGGGCTTCACCCAGAGGATGGAAGTGGGGAAGAAGAGGTCATCAAGATGGTGTATTTTAAGCAACAACTAATTAACACTTTCCCCCCACCCTTACCCCCCCCCATAAAGCTCAGCTAATTAAATTATTACCAACCATACCCCACAAAGAACTCACCTTGGCATCTGCTCACTAAAAATGCACGCTTTCCCCCAGTTTCAATAAATCCAGGGCAAATGGAGAAACACATCAGGAGGAAGTGTTTTTGCCAAGGGGATTTATGAGCCTGGGGAAAGGTACTTGATTCCATCACATTCCAGAGAACGCATTGCCAAGTGCCCACCGGTTGCCCCAGCCTGTGATTCCACAGTTTGAGATGTGGAGACCTAAGCAGAAGGTGATGGGAAACAATGCCTAGAACAGCATTCAGGCTGGGAGCGGAGAAGGGGGCATCGGGGTGAGTTAGCACCTATTGCCTGTGGCTCACTGTGGACCATGTGGATTGAGAGCGGCCCTTCAGGGCGCCATGACCTTGACGTAGAGGCATCAGGAGAACCACACACTCATGTGCACATATACCCCCCGTCCAACCCCCCCAACACACACACACACACACACACATTCCCTGATAGACAGTCACAAAGGGCAATGCACAGCAAGAGTGCAGCTGAACCGAGTCCCTCTGATTTTCCACAGAGGGGGCCTGAACGGGAAGGTACATTAGGCCAAAGTCTTTCTATAGGCAGGCACCCCAGTAAAGGTTTCCCTTGCCCTGCTTTGTCACCCTGTGCCTCTAGCACAGACGGGTGTAAATTCTTAGCAAGGCTTCATGGCTCTGAGGCAAGTTTTGGGACGTGTCAGGGACTCTTGGAGAGAGGCCGAGGTTGAAGGGACAGGCTCAGAGACAGCCTGCCTAGGCTTGAGTGCCAGCTCCCCGCTCGCCCGCTGGGAGAGCTTGGACACATTATTTCATCTCTTAGGTCTCAGTCGTCGTCAGTCGTCGTCATCTGTGAAACAGGGAGCATGATAGCACCTATCTCGTAGGTTATTATGTGGACTAAATTAGTTCATACGCAGTTTTAACTCCGCACCTGTGTTGAAAGTTATGTCCATCATGATCAAGACTCAAGGGGCCTGTGCCGTGCTGGAGGACAAGTAATCCTTAAACAGCTTTACTGTATCCTTTTCTGTGGAACTGATTCTTCCTCTGCCCCTCAATGAAAATTTAGGCAAGGCCTCGCAACTCTTCCGGGCTTTCTCGGGTCATAAAAAGTCCAACAACCACTTTAAGTCACAAGGTCCATCGCAAGTCTGTAATTTAAATGTCTGGCTCCAATATAAATTCCAAAATGTCACACTGAGAACTGAGTCTCCTTGGCATTATCGTGGTCGGTGTCTTTTTTTTTTGGACTGGCAGGTATTCGGACCCTTCCTTTCACTTGCACTGATGGTGGGTTCTTTCTCAGTCCCTGTATGCTCTGACTTTTTGTTTCAGATCTGAGATACCACCCCCCGCACCTGATTCCCCACATGCCCAGGACCTGGGCCATTTACATTGTGGGCAACTCGCCCACAGCTCCATGCCCAGCATGGTACCCTCCAGCTATGACACAGCGTCCTCTCTGCTGTGCCTCTGCTGGGGCTGTTCTCTCTGCTTGAAGTCGCCTCATCGCCCATCCACCCTTCCATCCCACCATGTTCTGAGGCCTCATGCTAGTCCAGCCTCCCTGCTTCATAGGCGTGAGATCGGAGTGGGCCTCTGACTTACTGAGCAGTCCACAGGAACAAAGCTGGGCTCAAGCTAGGCTATCTGATGCCCTTCACACTCCGTGGAGGAGCCTGGGCTGGGGGCGGATGTGCACGGTGGTGGAAAGGAGCTAGCAACAGGCCAGGAGTCTTGGAGAATTCAACATCTGCCAAGTCTCATCTCCACAGCCCTCTTCTTTGGGATGGGTACCGCCTTCTCCCAAGGAGTGGGGGAGGTGCTGGGGCTCTCAGCAAGTTCTATTGCTCGAGGTCCTACAGAGTCCTTTCTCCACCCAGGCTGTGCAGAGGCTGTAGGTGAAGGTGGGAGGAAACCACTTCAAGGTCTGGAAGGAAACGTGGGGAAAGACTGACCCCTGCTGTATCCTGCTCTCACCTGGCCGCTGCCGCATGCCTGCCCTCTACCCTGAGGAAGGAACGAGGGATGCCCGTGAGAAGCCCCCAGGAAGGTGCCTCCCTCCAAATCTTTCCCCATCTGCCGTTGGTCTGGGCTCTACCCACCTTTTAATTCCCATCTCTTGCAGGCAATCTTAGGAATCGTCCTCTTGACAAGGCCGAAAGCAAAGCTGGGATTAGGGAGAAGGAAGCAAGGAGCCCAGGCTGAGAAATTGAAGGAGACGCTCACCATAGGCTCATGCGAAAGCAGGGCTGACACCTGACAGTGGGGCCTCCTCAAATATGCACCCACGGCACTCGCTTGCCTCACCCTAGTCCTGGCCCTGGCAGAAAGCTGTTCTTCTACCCAAAGCCCCCACAAAACTCTGTACCACAGCAGTCCTGATTTCGGGGCTGAGATCCAACAGTCAGTCACGGTGAAGGTGAACAAGACCTTCTCTTGCAAAGTGTCCTCTTCAATTCCTCTCACCCCAATGCCCCGGCTGACACAGCACCTGGTCATTGCTGGGGCAGTGGGCCAAGGGCAGGTGGTGCTGGAATGCCCCCTCTCCTCCCACGGAGGCAGAGCTCCCTCACTAAAGCTCAAGGTGAAGAAGACAAAAGCAGGAATGATTTCTTCCTCCCCCAGCACCTTCCTTCCATTCCTGCAGTTCTTGCCAGAGCTGTGGATTCCCTCCCCAAACCCCGGAGCTGACAGTTCCCATTGTCACAAAGTTCTTCCTTATAAGGACAGCTTCTTGAATGACGAGGTTTTAGATCAGCTCTGTCTTTCCTCACCTGATTTAGCATTAAAGAATATTTGGAAGCCTGCATTAAAGAATATTTGGAAAGAACCTTAATTATGTTGCTTTCGAGTAACTTATTTCCAAATAAGTATCTCCGGGGGTCTACATCAAAGGAAAGGTAAAACTCATTCGCAGTTAACACAAGCTATTTACATGCAAACTGTTGCACCCAAGCCTGAAGAACACTTTTGCTCTTAAGTTGGTTAAACAAAAGCCTTCCAATATTATTTTCTCAGCTCTGGCTGAACAATCCTTTTCGCCCCAGATTTTCATAGACGGAGACTCAGCCAGTTCAGATACACCCCTTCTGAATTCTGATTATGAGGAGTCAACTAGAGGAAGTACTGTGGGTGCCCCACTCCTTGCAGACCCCTGGTGCTGTGTGTCCTTCCTGAACAGGCACCTCGTTTACTCCCAGCCCCTTGGCAGAGTGGGGCAGCAGGCATCAACCACTGGCAGACAACCAAATGCCCTGAGCGAGGGGCTTCAGGGAACAGGAGCAGGAGGCTGGGCCTCAGACAAAGGGAGTAAATAGAGCATACAGGAGAGAAGGTTCGGGACAGACAGGCTTGGAAAGTAAATGGCTTCTGAAGGGAGGAAAGAGTATTTAAGCCCTAAGTTTAACAAGGAAGATTGGGTAGCAGCACCTGGCTGGTGGGGGAGGCGGTGTTGCTTATGAGCTGGAGAGGAGATGGGTTCTCAGTGTGACCTGGGGGTGAGGTGAGGAGAGTGCGATGGTTAATTTTGTGTGTCAGTTTGGTCACAGAGTGCTCAGATTAAACATTATTTCGGGTATGTCTGTGAGGGTGTTTCCAGGTGACATTGTTTGAATCAGTGTACTCGGTAAAGTGATTGCCCTCCCTGAGTGGGCAGGCCTGCGCCAATGCACTGAGGGTCTGAATGGAACAAAACGGCGGAGGGAGGAGGCATTTGTCTCCTTCCTGCCTGCCTGCTTCAGCTGGACATTTGTCTTCTCCTGCCCTCTTACTGAGACTTGCACCACTGTCTCCCCTGGTCCTCAGGCCTTCGGACTCAAACTGAATTACACCACCAGCTTTTCTGAGTCTCCAGCTTGCAGACTCCTCAGCCTCCATAATCATGTGAGCTAATTCT